ATTCCTAAAATATTATATAAGGAACCATGAGAAGTATATAGACAACTAGAAGAACAGTAACCAGCAATATATTCCTAAAATATTATATAAGGAACCATGAGAAGTATATAGACAACTAGAAGAACAGTAACCAGCAATATATTCCTAAAATATTATATATGAAACCATGAGAAGTATGTAGACAACTAGAAGAACAGTAACCAGCAAGATATTCCTAAAATCATCCAAAATTAAATGGAAAATTATGAGAATGTTTAAAATTTAAAAAAATCATGAAAAATTAAAATTGCGAGGAAATGATAAAATAAATTGTGATAGATTTTAATGCCAGGGAATAACAAATAATTGATTGATGTCAAAATGACCTAATAATAATACTTAAAGGTGCAAAATATACCTAGGGATGTCAAATGATGTCTAGGCATGTCAAATTATGTCTAGGGGTGTCAAATGATATCTAGGGATGTCAAATTATGTCTAGGGGTGTCAAATGATATCTAGGGATGTCAAATTATGTCTGTGGGTGTCAATGATGTCTAGGGATGTCAAATGATGTTTAAGTATGTTAAATCAAGTCAAATGTTGTCAAATGATTATCAAAGGATGTCAAATGATTTCTAGGGATGTAAAATTATGTCTAGGGGCGTCAAATGATGTCTAGGGATATCAAATGATGTCTAGGGAGGTCAAATGATGTCTAGGAATGTCAAATGATGTCTAGGGATATCAAATGATATCTAGGGATACCAAATGATGTCTAGGGATACCAAATGATGTCTAGGGGCGTCAAATGATGTCTAGGGATGTCAAATGTTGTCTAGGGATGTCAAATGATGTCTAGGGATGTCAAAAGATGTCCAGGGATATCAAACGATGTATAGAGATGTCAAATGATGCAGAAGATGTCAAATGATGTCGGAGGATGTCAAATGATGTCAAGGATTTCAAAGGATTTCTAGGGATGTCAAATGATCTCTAGGGATGTCAGAAGATGTCTGGGGATCTCAAATGATATCTATAGGTATGTCAAATGATGTCTACGGATCTCAAATGATATCTATAGGTATGTCAAATGATGTCTTGGGATGTCAAATCATGTCTAGAGATGTCAAATGATGTCTAGGGATGTTAAATGATGTCTAGGGATGTCAAATGATGTCAGAAGATGTCAAGTGATGTCAGAAGATGTCAAATGATGTCTAGGGATGTAAAATGATGTCAAATGATGTCACCTTAATTCAGTCCACATCTGGTTTGAAGCTATAAACCCTGCTGTAGTTCCGGCAAACTAGGGGAATTATAACCATGATAATATTGACTAAGACCCCTAAGTTTTTTTTCTTTTTTTACAACCCAATGTTGCAGACCATTTTCAAATGATGAATTCTGTTATATCAGAGAGTCTAAATTTGAAATATCAAAGATTACACCAGATGGTTGCAAAGATGACGGGGTTAAATAATTTGAGTGTGTGACAAGAACAATTCATCTGATGGACATTTTAACTACCAGTTAATTAACAGACATCTTAAATAACAGACAAGTTGATCATTCTAAAAGTACACCTCCTTCACTGTGGACTGTACACACAGTACAACTCATGGACAATTTCAGTTATGGACACTTGCAGAGACAGTACAACTCATGGAAAATTTCACCTATGGACACTTGCAGAGACAGTACAACTCATGGAAAATTTCACTTATGTTTACTGCACAGATATTACAACTCACAGACAATCTCATTCATGTACACTGTATAGACAGTACAACTCACATAAATCTCACTTATGTAAACTGTACAGACATTACAACTTTAGAAATATCCCTCATGTACTCTGTACAGACATTACAACTTTAGAAAATATCCCTCATGTACTCTGTACAGACATTACAATTTTAGGAAAATATCACTGATATACACTTGCACAGATATTACAACTTTAGGAAAATATCACTCATGTGCACTGTACAGACATTACAAGCTTAGGAAAATATCACTCATATACACTGTACAGACATTAAAAGCTTAGGAAAATATCACTCATATACACTGTACAGACATTAAAAGCTTAGGAAAATATCACTCATGTACTCTGTACAGACATTACAATTTTAGGAAAATATCACTCATATACACTTGGACATTAAAACTTTAGGAAAATATCACTCATGTACACTGTACAGACATTACAACTCACAGAAAATATCACAGATGTACACTTGCACAGACATTAAAACTTTAGGAAAATATCACAGATGTACACTTGCACAGATATTACAACTTTAGGAAAATATCACTCATGTACACTTGAACAGACATTAGACCAGTTACATTGAATATCATGATGTTTATGGTTCCTTATTCTGTCCTCTTTGTTCTTTATTTTCTCTCCTCTTTTCATCCTAAACACAATTTCATGATGGTCTTTTTCTCTACCCAATCTCAAATCTGACCCTCCCTCCCCCGTGGGGTATTTTAGGGGGTCATTGGGTGGTGACTGTTTTTTTTCACAAAACTCCCCTTAAAATGCATTTGTCTTGTGTTTCATGGTGAGAGTGGACAAAATGAATATATTCTGATAATCTTTTCATTTACAAACATTGTATGAATTGTACCTAGCATTGATTTATATTGGTTTCAATTTAAAATTAATTTTCCCGTTCATATATTTATCCTTGAATGGATCCTGTAAACCCGCAATATACTTAGATGTCATCATTTGTTTGGATATTGCTGATCTTGAATACTTGATCTCAATATTCAATGTGAATACTTTTAAATTTGAAGATCCATACTTGATCCCTCAAATAAATGTGTCCCCGCAGGGTATAACCATCACAGGATATATATCGAAGAGGAATTGAATTAATCCATGGGTGTGCATGAAACTTAACACACAAAAGTTATGACTTCTGTTAAAAAAAGTTTTTATGAATAAGTTATATTTAGAGTTTGTTATAGAGGGTTTGGGTGAATTTCTAGGAAACTAATGAGGTATAAAACAGTCTTAGAATTATTTACGTTTTAATGAATAATTAGTATAACAGAGCCTACACCAAGGTTGTTGCCTAAAATATGGAGTCCAGCTCCCAGCTTTCTTTTAATAACACACTTACAAATTTACACATGGCAATAAGGACAAATAGATTTAGAACTGTCTATTTTTGTTCATTAAATGTCAAAATGGCTAAACCCATTGCTCCTCAAATCCACCAATAAAAACAGAAGAATAATGCTAATTCTAAATTGTTTATATAATGGCCAAAGATGAAATAATTTCCAATAAAGTAAAATTTCAAGCAAATATTTGGAAAGAAAAATAACCACAAATCACTAGAGATTGGCACAATCGGCTTTATTCAATTTGTTCGTTAATCCTTGAATTAATTGGCTTAATTCAATATATTCGTTGCAACCCATGGGTTCATTAATTTTTTAGTTGTATAGTAAAAATTAGAAATTTCGTTAATTTTTCTTCTATTTTGTTTGTCTTAAAATATTTCGTTCGTTAAAGAAAACTATGCTCATTTCTACAAAAAAACTGTTCAAGTCATGTTCTAAATGCATCAAGGGGTTTCAAAAGGATCCTTTGGATACGAAACACAAAAATTTCTAAAAAAGACTGAATTCATAAAGTTTTATGTTTCATGTTTAAAATTGAAGTATTTCTTTAAAAATTGTAAAGCTTAACCCCTGAATGGGTATTATTTTCAACAAGTGGCCGTGAGATGGCACTCTAAAAACCTATCGTAAAAACGTAGCATGTCGTGCACGGTAATCTTAAGCAGTCTATGTAGTCTCTGTGATTTACTCTAAAGGTTTCACTTACCTGAATTGTACTGTAGATCATGATTGAACATACAAAGAATGAGACCCAGGGAATAATAAACATACTGCCGCTCACCATACTAGACACAAATCTCAAGTTAATATTAAATTAAAGTGAGTTCAGGTAAGAGTCAAGGTTGAATTAAGTGAGTTCAAGGTTATTAAAATTAAATTTAGCCAGGTAAAATAAAATCTAGCCAAAGTTTATAAAAGTTATGTTATTTAAGTCAAAACAAGTAAATTCAAATATAAAAGTTAACTCAAGTTAAAACAAGTTAAATCAGTTAACTCAAGTTAAAACAAGTTAACTCAAGTGAAAACCAGTTAACTCAAGATAAAATTACCCGTAATATGCTGCCAGCTCATGTACAGGGTGGCAAGAATATCTGAAGGGAAATGGCCAGGAGTCTATTAGTGCTGGGAGGAGAGGGAGGGATAGGAAGAGACTTATGAACCATATGAGCCCAAGAAGTAGCTTCCATTTCATGGGGCTCGCATGCACGCTCTTCTTGTATAAATTAGTGCGCTTTAATGCACGAGTCCTGAAAATCTAGAAGTCAGGTTTATGCTTTCATTTTATTTAACCATCCTTGTCTTCAGTTCAATGGCTACTATTAAGTTATAATATATATGTTGTAAAATGTTGTCCTTTTCATTTTTATTACCCTGTCTCTACAGCAAGAAATGCAAGTAGTTTTTATTATCCATGAAATGAATAGAATCCACCATAACTGAAGTGTCAAATCTGTTGTGTACTGCTGTAGAAGGAGATCAAATCAAACACAAGTTAAAGAAAATGAACGTTGTTTCTCAAAGCTTTGATCCTACGCTTTTGTTTGAGTTTGTTTACATTGCTCCCAATACACAATAAAGTAAACAATTTGAAATTTAAGTTATTGGTTCCTAGTCTAGATTCTTTCTAATACCTGTCTATGGTTAGCAGAGACAATGTAACTGTTTCCACAATAGGAACAATCTCCATAAGCATTGAATTCAAAGAGCAGAAAAAACTAAAAATTTAATTTTTAATCTAATTTGATTTAGTTGAAATTATTGAATTGTTTTCAAATTATTATTTCTCAAGAGTTTAATAAATATCAAGAGTTTTCAAAACAAAGTTAGAATTCATAAGCTAAACCAAATAACAAAACCTTGAATTAAGAATATTCAAGGTATTAGTTAAAATTCAATTTGATTATTAAAAGGCATAAAGGATTACCATATTTCAGCATAATCACAGTTTAAAATTTTCCACTCATTTAATTTTTTTTGAAGTCACTTTACCTGCCAAATATCCAGGGCTGAGTGCTTTGATAGGCTATGCTTAATGTGATATTAAGCATACATTCAAACAGCTTGACTATCCCCAGCTGACAAATATCAGATCATTGAAATCAAATATCTATAATCGACTGATATTTTTAGTCAATAAAAGGTTTTACAATATTAAAAAAAACTTTTTTTTATTAAAAAGTTTGGCCAAGGTCTTGGTCAAAAACATTGATGACTTTCTGGATTGTACAATGCTTATTTTAATTGAGCACTAATTCATACATGTTAACTACACTATCATATAGCAAAATAAATTAAAGTTTTTTACGGTATCATAGCAAATTATATTAACAATTTAAATACATAAATATATGATAATCCATAAACCATTTCAAACATAAAAGATATGTTGTGTACTTCATTCAAATTTAAAAATTACATTTTGTTAAAACTGATTCCAAAGTCTGCCCACACAGTTATAACAGAGAGAAAATAATTATATCATTGTTTTCATGTTCCAAATATTCTAGTTTTTCTTAGAAATCTTTATCTCTGATTATGCTAGAAAGAATATTAAAGTGGAATACTAGATTACATATATATAATATATATGCCAATATTTGATACTTTCAGATAAACATTGCTCTCCTTAAGAGCAGAGAAGAAATTATATATAATTTTATATAATTATAATTGATATAATAAATATAATTATGTATAGTTATGATTTGAGTAGAGTTGTATATTCCAGAGGTAAATATTTCTTCTATACATTACAAATCTCATTTTCGAAATTTTAGCAGAGAATTATATTTGAAGGAATTTTAACTATGTTGCTGCTGGTTTAAATATGAACTGCCAATTTCAAGTTAAAAAAGGATTTGAATCAGTAATTCAAATTTGAACCAGTGATAGATAGTTCAGGAACCAATAAATTCATTAAATTTGGTTCTGGATGAAATTCCAGAAAAGGTTATTGTTCTCCCTGTATCTCTACTTGAATCCCTAATTACCTGAGCCCGCGATTTAAAAACTTCTGCTCGAGCCGTAATTTTCCTTAAACCTGACTTTAGACCCAATCTTTGACCCAACTCTGACGACAGCTTGTGTCATGTGATTGACAGCTGCAAGATCTTCGGCTCCACTCAAGGAGTTAGGCCTAATGAAAATAAAACTGACCTTGGTTGGTTTTAGTGAAGAATAAGATTCATGTGTTGAGTCTTGTTCTCATAAAAACTGGGAATGTGCCAATTCCTACCATGAAAATCCGCCAAATAGAATATTAAACTATTAAACCGGTTTTTTTGGACTCAACTCTGTGGAAAATAAGATGCATTTTGAATCCGAAAATTCAAGCAGTAAATAAGGCCCAACGACAGCTTAGACCCGAGCCATATTTTCCCGATTTTTTTAAAATCTCAGTAATATAAGAGAGGAAAGAGAATGTTTAGTTAATTTAGAATTTAACATTTTGTGTTAAGTACAATACAATTTTGTGTTTTCTAATGTTTTTCACAGAAAATTTGCATTATTCATAGTATACAGGGCAGGTTTCGGATCCACAGAAAATAAATGTCACTGACCCGGCCAATTATTATTAGAAGATATTTAATCTCTGTAATGCAAATATGAAATAGTTATATTCCTAGGGTTAATATTGTCTAAGTACAACTAAATTTCATAAATTCTGCATTTTCATAATAAACTACAATATTCGCTGAGCAAAAGTTGGTTGTTTTCTGTAAAAAATATTTATTTCTGGCTGTATTAATTGGAAGAAAAAAGATCTCCTAGGCAGCAAGCTTTCTGAAACACAACAGAGAAAAAAGTTTACAGGGTTAATCTTTCCCTTAAATGAATAGAACAATTTTTAAAAGCTGAAGTAAAAACTACATTTTACATATTGGCGGGGCAAGTAAAATTCAAATTCTTAAAAATAAATACCCCTGGCTGGGCTAATTATAATTGGGATGATAAATGCTTGTCTTGACAACCAGCTCTCTCTCCAAATAGTTGATGAGACAAATATTGTAGTGTGGTACCTACCATTAGGTGTGTATTGAGCTTTCAACAATATGATAACATTAGCTTCTAGAAAAGACAGACCACCATAGAAGAATAACCAAGAATTCTTACTGACCAAAATGGATTATACGTTACTATTGAAAAACTTTATCTTAGTATTGTATTCAAGTGTAATTGTGATTGTGCCACCAATGCCCCATATTTACACCTTGATAGTTGATTGCTTAGGATTTCTGATGGCGACCTTAGCTTGTATATTTCTAATATATTTCCTGAGTACAAGGCCTTCTTCAGAAAAGAGTATGCTTAACAGAATCATCATTTGTATTGCTGTCTCCCTTATTCTGGGACTAGTACGAACTTTGGGTATTTCTATCGCTGCATATTTCTGGAATTCACAGCTAGAAACTCTTATTGAAACCCATGAATCCCTAGCTATTTTGCTCTCCTATAGATTAACAAATATAGTTGGGTCATATTGCTTCCTTGCTCTGAGTTCCTGTAGACTCCTACTTGTTACAAACCCTGTGGCTTTCCAGACAATCAAACCAAAAACTGGTGTCATTGCAATCTGGTCAGTGATATCATCAATCTGTGTTCTGGATTTCTGTTATGGTGGGATACTATGTTCCGGAACTGTATACACAAGAAAAGTAATGATGAACTTCAAGGTTGAAATTGGTGCTTGGACAGAACTAAATGGCACAATCTCCCCTCAAGGTCCAAACAACAGTAAGGACCCTAGCTTTTGCTTTCACATCCCCATAGTTGCCTTGAACTGCGCTGTTGTGATAATTTTGGAAATAGTTAAACTAGCTTTTGTATTTATTAAAGAGTACAGAAAGCTGACCAGAAATAAGATCAACAAAATACAACCGTTTGTAATGAAACCTACTCCCAAAGCTAGAGAATTTAGGGGTAGATCTTTATCTTTCTCATCCAGCTGCATACAATCAAACTCAAGGCCAAGGAGAGGGTCCCTGCCAACAACGCTTGTAAGAAGCAATTTAAACAACGTATTGGATCCACCAATTTTACATCAAGTTAATCCACCAAGCATTGACATGGTAGAGATAAGAAATATTGTTGTGAACATAACAAAAACATTTTGTCTAAGAGCTGGCAGTTTTCTCACAATATTTGCTGCAGTTGCATGTTTATGTTTGATTCTGCCTAGGTTCATGGTTTCGTCATTTACTCTTATTGGGCAGTTAACATCTTTCAGACTAATCATATATGTTTTAGTAGTCTATTTAGTTGTGATAGATGAGGACATTTTTAATTTCATAATGCAAAAACTTTAATTTTAAAATTGTTAAAAATATTTTTGTATACTTTAAATATGGACAAATTTTATCAGTCCTCAGCATTGAGTGTACAACGTTTCTTCTAACTTTAATTTTAAACAATATCTTATGTTTCATCTCACTTTTGAAGATTAGGATTTATGTGTACATGTAATAATCAGCTGTTTGTAATTCACTGTACACTCTGCGCCAACATTTTACCAGCTATATTACACTGTACAGTGTATAGTACACATACAGATTTTTAAAAGCCAAAGGGAATGTGCACTAAATAAATCAGCCCCTTCAGCTGCATTCATCTAAGCATACATTATACAGTATACAGTACCCACATAAATTTCATTCATTATTCATTTGGGGTACTGTGCTGTTTACGGTTTGCCTTACATAGTCTGTAATTGTACTGTACAGCTTGCTCTAGCTGAAAAAACGTCGGCTCAGGACTTGAAATGGACCTTAGTGTAAACAATGTAATGAGCCGCTGAAGTAATTTGTCTTTAGCTTTGATTACTTTATGAATAATAGCTGAATAAATGTGATGAACAACTCTATTTAAAAATGTTGTAGCTCTGTAATCATTCAATTAATTACCTATTTACTAGAACTTGAAATATGTAATTTTATTCAACTAATGATGTAAAAAATGTGTTTTAATCTTGGATGGCACAAGTTGCGTAACATCCTTTTCATCCCTAGTATTTAACCATAGATGTAGATAATAAATGTTTTTTAATAAACTACAGGAAAATGAGTTTGTCAATACAGTAATCAAAGATTTTTTAGATTCATTTTTAGTGTACACTTGTGTACACTATAGTACAGTGCATTACACTTCGTACGATTCAGTATAGTACAATACACTTCAGTACAATACAGTATAGTACATATCACTTTTGTAAATACAGTGCAGTACAGCACACTTATCAACAATACAGTGTAGTACGGCAGACCTTTGTACAATGTACATCAGTAAAAGTAAACATATGTAAATATAGCATAGTACAGTAAACTTATGTACATTACAGTATAGTACAGTCCAGTACACTAACATACAATAAATTATACCACACGTAATAAACGTAAATTTTCAATAACGTACCACAGTACAGCACAGTACAGTAAAGTGCAGTACAGCACAGCACGGCACATCACAGCACAGCACGGTACAGCAAAATACAGCACTGCACAGTACATAACAGTGCAGCACAGCACAGCACAGCACAGAAACAGCTCAGCACAGTACAGTACAATACAGCACAGTACAGTAGACTAAAGATCACCTGTAGAAGAAGAAGATTGTAAGAGAGGCGCCTCAGGGTGAGTGAAGAAGAGATTGTCGAAATCAGAATAATATTTCCAAAAAATGAAATTAGAAAGAGAAGAAATAAGAAAAGTGCTGCGATAACCTTAATTAGAAAAGTATTAAAAAAGAATGGCTCACTTTTAACAGTAAATTATTGGTTTAAATTACAAGCCATTGAGCCTAATTTTCACCCATTTAATGAAGATTTTTGGTATTAGCTATCTTTACTTTACTTCAGTCTATTATTTTCTAATCATCAAATCATATATATGAAGTCTTTTACACTATTTTTGACGGATTTTGAACTAAAGATAATTATTTGACGTTGTAGTTGGTTTTACGAATCTTTTTGGTACTCCATACATATGTATTCTTTTGTTAAATCCAAATGTTTTTATTAGTTCATTTATTTTTTAAACAATAGAAATGTTTTTTGTTTGTTTAATTAAAAATATTTTGAATTCAGAATTCTTTCTCTTAGTTCTTAAAGGTCAGCAATTAGTAGATTTAGTGATACTAAGAATTAAAGTTGTATATTTTTTATGATTAGTCCATTGTCTCAAGGGAATTTATATGAAAAACTAGCTGAAGGGCCCGGCGTTGCCCGTGCAAAAAAAATAAAAAATAATCATTTTTTTGCCTATAATCCCCCCTGAGTGTCCAGAAAAAATTTCAGCCCAATCGGTCCAGTCGTATGACCGGCTGTAGGCAACATATATATTTGTATACGAATGTCTTGGTTTTTATATAGATAAAGAAATTTAAAATTCAAAACCAAATATGGTATCCATCTGTACTAGTTGATTAACAATCGATTCACTGAGAAAGGTTTTTTAGAAAACGCAATTGAGTTCAAATAGAGGAGACCGAACAGATTTCGCCCTCGTAAGTCCATAGTGTCTTATTCTCTGGTTGCAAAGGAAATGAGGTTTTGCCACAAATTCAAACCTTAATTACTTTTCAACCTGATGGTGTAAACCTTTGATATTTCAAGCTAAGATTACATGGTCTAACAAAATTCATTGTTTGAAATATCTAAGGTCTACAACATTGGGTTGCAAAGATATAGGGATAAAAAATCAGAGTTTGTGACAAAGACTCAATTCCTTTATTTGATTCTTTTAGAAACAAAATTGCAAAAATTTTGCAAAAAAATCTAAAAAATGTTTAACCTTTGTGGAGAGTGCGTAGGTTGGAGGAGACGGGGCCGGAACAACAGGAACCCAGGTTCCATTCACGTATTTAAATGTTAAAGTAACACGTTGCAATTCAGCCTTCAGGAATACTTTTATTAAGGCAGGAGTTTTTTTAGTAAATGGATTAGTTTTAACGCTTACCGTAATGTTCTAAGTAACCTTAACTTGGAAAACGATTATATTTTCTTGATCTTTAATAGGAAAAAGGTTTTATTATCAATAATACTTTCTTTCTTGTTGTTTGTTTTTGCCACAAACTCAAATTTTTTAATCTCTATGTAGAGCTTTGCCACCCATTTTCATTGACCTTTGATATTTCAAACTATGAATTATGTAAGATCAAATAATTTAAGTTTGAAATATTAAAGGTTTACACCATCAGGTTGTAAATATATAGGGATTAGACAATTTGAGCAGGTGGAAAAAAACTCAGTTCCAGAGGCATACAGCTTCTATGTCTCCTTCTCTCTATACCCTTTCCCTTCACTTTCACATTCCATATTTCTACATTTTACACTCATAATGTCCAAAATTACATAATGTTATAAGAAGTCTATTTTTTAAAATAATAAAAGCATTCCTGACAGCTAGTGATGAAATATAAGAGTGCAATTCGTCTCATTCTGATGACATACAGGGTTACCCACAAAGGATGAGACTGTAAAGAAGGCTTGAAACTCTTGAAGGTTAAATTAAGTCATCTGCCTTGAACATACTCTTTCTTTATTATTTGATGATTTGGTGAAGAGAGAAACAATATAAGGAAACAGACAATATTAATTCCGTACAGTCGTCTCTGAGGTCTCATCCTTTGTGGGTAACCCTGTATATCTTACTTTTTTCTTGTTTTGAGTATATTGTTGAGTATTGAGGAGGGTTGGTGAACTAAAGATATGTGTAGGTTTTCACTATAGTTACCATGCATGGCTTTCCCCCCTGCAGTCCACAATAAAATATCAATACTAATTCTTATACAATTATTTAATTTCAATTTTCTGCTAGTTATTCTCTGATAAAACACATTTAGCGAACAAAATAAAAACCTCTTTATATATATAATGAAGATAATCAATATATTATTCAATCAAAAATACAGATGAATAAATACATAAAATAAATATGAATAAAAAATTAAAATAGAATAAAGATATTAGCATATGTTATAGCTCACATTAAACTAAAGTAAGTCTAACGTAAGATCGAAAGTTTTGTTTTCAATCATATGTTTTTTAAAATCATATTTAGCTTTTAATGAAAATGTCGTCTTCATGATCAAAAACCCTCGAAACAGGAATAAATGTTTTCAAAAGTAACTATCAGATCATAAAAAATAAAGAATATTATGAAATATCAGCTATATACGAATGTGTCAAAAATTATCGATGATTATAGGTTGTAACATCTGAATTATTTGTTTGGAATTAAATTGACTTTTTACGATCCGAGTTGTATGTTGAAACTTTCTGAATTTATATGGAAGCTACGTTCTTCGGTATGAGTCGTTTTTAACAATTTTGTCCTTATAGACGCAACAGATGGAAGTAAGATTGGAAGCAATCACCATTGATAATTTTTCGACGAACACTCCCTTTAAATCAATACGATTTAACCATTATAGTAAAATCTTTTTAAAGGGACAGTAAGCGCAATTTCAGGTGACCCTCAAAATTTGCAACTCCTGATTTACAACGGTACCCTTAAAACCATTATCTGATCAATAATGTTGGAAATACTGTCGTTTTCTAGTCTTAATACTTTTTATTTCTGATAATTTTCATATGTTTTCCTCCACTAGAAATACAAAGGCACTTTTGTAGAGAAACCACAATTGAAAATAATCATTTTTCCAAATTATAAACATTGATATCTAATTCATTTTTGACAAAACTTTCCAGGGTACCGTTCTTAATCAAGCATTGTCATCTTTGCCATGGAGGGTAACTTGCCATTACTTCCATAGTCCCTTTTAAAGTAGTGTTCCAAGGGTGTAAAGTTGAGAAGCTAAGGTTTAAACGAGTTCCCAAATCAAAATTTTAGACAAATCAGTCAAGCGGTTTTGAGTTATGATCGGACATACAAACAAAAAGACAGACAGAGATTGTCTTTTGTCCTTGATAGTATGCCGTTGTAATCCTAGCAGTCTTAAAAGTAGCTTCTCTGAAAGTACTTTGTCCGTCCGTAGTCCGTAGTCATTCTGGTCTTTCTGTAATGGCAAATTTGGCGCCAAAGAACTTGTTCAAAGCTTTAGGAAAAATAAATTTACAATTTTCATCAAATATTTATTTCAAGGGTAAAAATACAAACCTATTCTGTGCACGTAAAGTATGTATAAGAAATTCAAAGGATGCAAATTATTCAAAATATATATATTGGCATGGACAGGGTTGTTATCAATATACAGCAGCATAATAAATTACAAATTGTTCGAAAATGTGTCTTTTTCATCTTTACGAATTTCTATCGCATTAAATTTTTTTTGAAGTTCCTCTGATTCTTTTAATATATGGGGCGGGGTTTTAAGCTGGTTCCAAGGTATAACAAAACCAGAAATTATAAAAATTATAAAAAAGTTTAGGTCTAAAAGTTGTATTAACAATACATCAAGGGTTGGAGCATGGATTTTAATGGACAGAGTCCGAATTTGATAAATTTGAGCCGCGGTTTAAATTTAAGCTGGGGCTCAAAGATTATTGGTTCTACTCAAAATTGTATTCAATTTTTCAAGATTTAAGCCGGCGCTTAATTGAAACCGGTTTATGGCGCGGCTCAAATTCATTAAATTGGGACTCTGGAGACATCATATCATGTAACCCTCCATTTGTTGAGTGGCATGTAATGTGTACAACGGTACATGAAATTATGAAAGGTAACTTGAAATTACGTCTACAGTATAGTCCCTTTTAACATCTCGGGAACAGTCCCCTTGAGTATACAAAACAAGATGGAGGTTGAACTACTTGTATTGAGCAGTCTCCAGGAATGGATTGAAGAAAATTAGGCGAAAAAAAACTGTTCATGAATGCCACGCATTTTTACAAATTTCTTTTTGTTTAAAAGGAGTGCTCGCGAAAAATAAAAGATATTTTGGCTTTAATAATTATTAAATTGATGATTGGAAAACCCGTTTCTCGCGAGCAACCTAGCAATACATAAACATCTTTTTTTTGAGAAAATTTCCTTTAACAATAAACATCTTTTGTTCCCGCCAAAATTAAGAAAAACGGCTTCTGAACAATTTTGTTTCGTTTTTCTAAAAACTGGAAAATAATTTGAGCCTAGTAAGGTGAATTTTTTCTTCTTGATGGTCGTTGTGGACTAGTTCCGCCGTTTCTAAAAAAAAGTATTTATAAAAATCAGAAATTTATTAAGAAGGAAAAAAACCAAAGAACACTACCAAAGAGTAGATATATATGGAGAGGGATTAGACCCTCCCCATCTCTTTCCATGTATATCTACTCCGCTAGTTTAATTAGAAGGGGATCCCTCTCTATGTATATCTACTCCTATGGCTTACCTGAGCCCGCGATTTAAAAAAACTCGGGAAAATACGGCTTTTGTCTATGCTGTCGCTGGACCTTATTTACGGCTTGAGATTTCGGATTCAAGCTGCATGTTGTTTTCCACAGAGTTGAGTTAAAAAAACCGGTTTAATATTATCTTTGGTGGATTTTCATGGTAGGAATTTGCGCATTCCGGGTTTTTATGAGAACAAGACACAAGCTGTCGTTTGAGTTGGGTCGAAGATTGGGTCCTGAAGTCGGGTTTAAGGAATTACTACTCTAGCCGAAGTTTTTAAATCGCGGGCTCTGGAAGGGGATCCCTCTCTATGTATATCTACTCCGCTAGTTTACCTAGAGGGGCGATCCCTCTCCATGTATATCTACTCCGCTAGTTTACCTGAAGGGAGGATCCCTCTTCATGCATATCTACTCCGCTAGTTTACCTGGAGGGAGGATCCCTCTCCATGTATATCTACTCCGCTAGTTTACCTAGAGGGAGGATCCCTCTCCATTATATCTACTCCGCTAGTTTACCTGGAGGGAGGATCCCTCTCCATGTATATCTACTCCGCTAGTTTACCTGGAGGGAGGATCCCTCTCCATGTATATCTACTCCGCTAGTTTACCTGGAGGGAGGATCCCTCTCCATGTTTATCTACTCCGCTAGTTTACCTGGAGGGAGGAGCTAATAACCCTGGAGCACTTAGGTTACCATTCATCACACTAAATTAAAAGTAAATAAAATATCGAGGATATTTATTTTTATATCTTTCTCATTTTCAGAAAATATGTGGAAGCAATATTTTGCACGAGTAATATTTTAACATTTTGATAATACTGAATAAATAAAATCACAGATATTTTGAAAAAAATCATTCTTCAAAACTAAGCACAGCAACTGTGAAGTGTAAACAGATCTCAATATTTGATAAGAGATTTTTTACGTTACAAGTAAAACTATATTTGCTTTGTGACAAAGTCAAATACACAAAAGTATTGATATAATGTTGTCTTCTTATTGTAAATAGTTAATCTTAATGGGAATGTGAACGTAATTTCAAAGGACCCTAAATGCAAAGATTGCAATGCCCGATTTACAAGTTACAACGGTACCCTTGAAACCTGTATATAATCAAATATGTTGAAGAAACCTTGATTTTTCTGACTTTGAAAAGTGTTTATTTCTGTGAGTTTCTCCGTTACTTCTTCTGGACAAGGAATGTGGAAGTCACATTCACAGAGGAACCGCAAATAAAAATAAACAGTTTAAAGAAACAAAAAAATTGAATTCTAATTCATACTTGAACAGAAAAAGCTTTCAAGGGTACTGTTGTGTATCCGCTTACAGTCCCATTAAACCTCTGTAATCCTACCTTTCTTCATAATTAGGAGATATATTAGATTGCGTGATGCCATCTAGTCTAGGTCCTCCTCTTCTCTCTACTAAACTGGATCTTCCATGTTCTACAATATTGCAGATTTGAATATTATTGTAAAATATATTTCAAGGAAGAAGAATGAAGGATTCCATTTTTAAATGAACTAATTAACTTTTGCAAAAAAAAAACAATAAAATTGTATGATATTAGAAGTTTGATTTTATTAAACTTTGCAATATTTTTATCCTAAAATAAAAAAAAAATGGGAAAAGCGACCTAAAAACGGCGTTATAACTTGCTCGTTTTTGAATCGTTTTTGATCGTGTTTGGTTCGTTTTTGGTTCGTTTTTGCGCATTGTTTTTGATCGTTTTCGCATCGTTTTTGATCGTTTTAGCATCGTTTTCGCATTGTTTTTGATCGTTTTAGCATCGTTTTTGATCGTTTTTGCATCGTTTTAGCATCGTTTTTGATCGTTTTTGGTTTCTTTTCTTATTGGTCAAAATTTGACGTAGTTTGAGAAAAGCAAATGTCTTGAATTTAAAAAATTACACTTTCCAAAATTTTGAACCTGAAAGAAAATATAAACAAAACAAGACCAGACAACGAACAAATTACAATATTGGTATATCAATAAAGTCAAAACTAATAAAGTAGTTGGAAAAGTCCTAATTTCAAGCAGCTCAACTGAGGACAAAGAAGAATATGCCCATTTAGATGTTGATCTATTGGATTTCTTTTAAGCTTAAAGATTATTCAGTAGCAAGTGTTTACATTTACTCTTTAACAATTAAAAACATATTAAACAGTGAATCCCAGATATATGAATACATAGATAGAGTTCTTTATATGTCGTATTCTCATATTTAAGATCAAATGCCGCGGAAAAACGAGTTTAATATATTAATTGCTGTCCTGAATATTTCAGAATTATCAAAAAACCTTTGACTTTCTACAATGATATTTGGATATATTCTCACAAATTGTATTCAACCCTTTAAAGCTGCATCTTAGCAGCTTTCTTTTTGTGCAGACCAATGATTAAGCATTACAGCTGTCATAAATTTTGAAATACATTTTGAGACGACATTCCACGCGCTCTTGCTATGTAATCTTATATGTGAGATGGCTGTAGTTTTACCATTGATCAATAACAATACAGATAGAACACTAGATGTCGTATTTTCAAGATTTAAGGGTGTTTAGTTCACAATAACCCTGAGGCAGATGCTCAAAGGAGTTACCCGTATGCTCTCTGTCTTGTAATTCAACGCTGCCTGCGCGGAACTCCTTTAGGCTTCTGCCCTTGGGTTATTGTTAACGAAAAACTCTTAAATCTTATAAAGACGACAGCTAGTTTTCTCTCTGCATTGTTATTAATCTATTAATTTACCTTTAAACCTGTTTTGTGGTGGGCTTCCCGTAGGAACAGACGTCGAAAATCTAATAAAAAGGATTAATTTAGATTTTTGAGATACAGTGTACTGCAACAGTACTGTACACATACGTATGTTTGCCTAGCAAACAAGCGTACTACAGTTTCTAGGTTGCATTTAAGCGATACGCATCTACGTAAGAAGGTCACAGAAAAAAAAACTTTGGTCCTAATTTTCTGAAGTCCTACAGTGATAACCAGAAAACTTTAAAATATGAAGACGACTTTTTAGCAATACGTCAGTGTTTTAGATGTTGTTACAACAAAGCAAAAAATTTTACTAGACACTTATTAAATCAATGATTAAGTGAAATCAGTCTTTTTACACTGCACAATAGCGGTGCCCCATGCTCCTTGGACGTTTTAAAGTAAAAATTAAGTCTAAAAGTCGTTTTTATATTCCAGAGTTGTTTGGTTATCACTGTAAGACAATATGTCACTAGGAATAAAGTCCTGAGTCTCAGATTCCTGGGACTTTTTTCCCTAAAATAATATGGTGGCTGCCAATAAAGTCTCAGGTAATAAGATCACAGGCATTAAAGTCTTAAAGAAAAAGAGTCCTATGTCTTGGTAAAATGAGGTAAAGTCTTAGACGTTTTCATAAAACGGACTTTTCTTCTATGCAACTTCATATTGAATATTCCCGCTGGTGTTTTTAATATCAAGTCCCTGTTTCCATGGTTGTAAGCATCTTTTGTTCTTTTGTTTTTTTTTACGGAGACTTTTTGTATAAAATCTTACTGGAACCAGAAAAAAAGTCCTAGACAATAAAGTCTCAAAATGGTAGGACTTTTTTTAATGCCAAAATTTATTTAGGACTTTATTTCCGAAAAATTTTTTCATTGAACTTTTATGGCGGTTACCAAGCGGAACAGCATTATGGCAGTTACCAACCGGAACAGCATTATGGCGGTTTCCGAGCGCTACAGCATTATGGCGGTTACCAATCCGAACAGCATTAGGGCAGTTACCAAGCGGAGCAGCATTATGACGGTTACCAATAGGAACAGCATTATGGCGGTCACAAAGCGTAACAGCATTATGGGTGTTACCAAGCGAAACAGCATTGCTGAGGTTGTTTCCATTTCTCCCAAAAATGCAGAACATTTTTTAAAGTCCAGCATCCAGTAGTGTACTGCAATGTTTGTTTTCCTATAGATCTGGTAATGTACTGCATGTTTACCTATAGATCTGGTAGTGTACTGCATGTTTATCTATTAGAATCTGGTAGTGTACTGCATGTTTACCTAAAAGGATCCAGTAGTATACTGCATGTTTACCTATAAGGATCTGGTAGTGTACTGCATGTTTACCTATCAGGATCCAGTAGTGTACTGCATGTTTACCTATAAGGATCTGGTTGTGTACTGCATGTTTACCTATAAGGATCTAGTAGTTTACTGCATGTTTACCTATTAGGATCTGGTAGTGTACTGTATGTTTACTTATAAATCTGGTAGTGCGCTGCATGTTTACCTATTGATCTGGTAGTGTACTGCATATTTAACTATAAGGATCCAGTAGTGTACTGCATGTTTACCTATAAATCTGGTAGTGCGCTGCATGTTTACCTATTGATCTGGTAGTGTACTGCATATTTAACTATAAGGATCTGGTAGTGTACTGCATGTTTACATATTGATCTGGTAGTGTGCTGCATATTAAGGATCTGGTAGTGTACTGCATGTTTACCTATAGATCTAGTAGTGTACTGCATGCTTACCTATTAGGATCTGGTAGTGTACTGCATGTTTACCTATAAGGATCAAGTAGTGTACTGCAATGTTTACCTATAAGGATCTAGTAGTGTGCTGCATGCTAACCTACTAGGATCTGGTAGTGTACGGCAATTTTTACCTATTAGGATCTGGTAGTGTACTTCATGTTTACCTATTAGGATCTGGTAGTGTACTGCATGTTTACCTATTAAGATCTGGTAGTGTACTGCATGTTTACCTATTAGGATCTAGTAGTGTACTGCAAAAACTGAACATGTGTCGTAAACCAAAACATGAATCTAGAAACCGAACACATATCTAGAAACCGAACACATGTCTAGAAACTGAACACATGGCTAGTACTAAACATGTGTCTTGAACCCGAACATGAATCTAGAAACCGAAAACGTGTCTAGAAACTGAACATTTGTCTAGAAACCTTACACATTTCTTGAAACCAAACATGTGTTTAGAAACCGAGCACGTGTTTAGAAACCGAAAACATGTCTTGAAACCGAACATTTGACTAGAAATGGAACACATGTCTAAAAACTAAACACATGTTTTGAAACCGAACATTTGTCTAGAAACTGAACATGTGTCTTAAACCAAAATGTGTATCTAGAAACCGAACACATGTCTAGAAACTGAACACATGGCTAGAAACGAAACATGTGTCTTGAACCCGAACACGTATCTAGAAACCGAACACGTGTCTAGAAACTGAACATGTGTCTAGAAACCTAACATGTTTCTAGAAACTGAACACGTGTCTTGAAACCAAACATTTGACTAGAAACTGAACATGTGTCTTAAACCAAAACATATATCTAAAAACCGAACACATGTCTAGAAACTGAACATGTGTTTTGAAGCCGAACACGTGCATATAAACTGAACATGTGTCTAGAAACCTAACATGTTTCTAGAAACCTAGCATGTGTCTAGAAACCGAACATTTGTCTAGAAACTGAACACATGTCTATAAACTGAACACGTGTCTTGAAACCGAACACATGTCAAGAAACAGAACACATGTCTAAAACTGTGTTCATGCGATATAGGTTTTAGAAAATTAGAGTTTGTGCTGAGACCAACAACTAGGCAACAATTTGTCATATTTCTAGATTTTTTGTCGTCTTCACAGTCTCATCCTTTGTGGCTTACCCTGTATGTACGTGAATAAGAGTAAAATCCAAAATAACAACAAAAATGTTTGAAAAATGTAATAAATGCAGTGTTGCTGTGAAATACCTACAGTTTTATATTTTCTTTCTTTTCTTTTTATAAACTGTTATTTTAATGTCCTCCATGCACCACCAATGGCGTGGTGCATGATTTCTTTTAAAATTTCATCGCGACACCTTGTATTTGATCTATTTGATGAAACCTAATTGTCTAATTCACTAACCTATTAATAACTTGAGTAACAGAGAGATGGCTAGCTTCCGTTCTTGGACTAAAATATTATTATTATTATTATTATTATTATTATTATTATTATTATTATTATTATTATTATTATTATTATTATTATTATTATTATTATTATTATTATTATTATTATTATTATTATTATTATTATTATTATTATTATTATTATTATTATTATTATTATTATTATTATTATTATTATTATTATTATTATTATTATTATTATTATTATTATTATTATTATTATTATTATTATTATTATTATTATTATTATTATTATTATTATTATTATTATTATTATTATTATTATTATTATTATTATTATTATTATTATTATTATTATTATTATTATTATTATTATTATTATTATTATTATTATTATTATTATTATTATTATTATTATTATTATTATTATTATTATTATTATTATTATTATTATTATTATTATTATTATTATTATTATTATTATTATTATTATTATTATTATTATTATTATTATTATTATTATTATTATTATTATTATTATTNTGATTTATCAGCTGGGGCCTCTGTTGCAGCCTTTGTTTCCTTCTTTTTCTTAAACCTGATTCAAACCAATTAAAATCGTATTTTTCAAAAAAAAATTAATTATATAAACTAAAATTAGGACACAAAAAACAGGTATTATATAACTATTTCTGCTTTTCGCGAAGACATGTTTTTTAATGTAGATGTAGAAAGTTTATAAAAATAAAAAATTAAATCATTTTATGTTTCCAAATTGATTGTGATTTTTTTTGTGTTTCCTTCTGAAATAATCCTGGATAAGGAATGTGGCGTAGAACTTTCCAACTGTTACGTCATCTTCAACTGAAATAAAAATGGCGCTAATTCCAAAAATGGCGGCGGTTTTCAAAATGGCGGCAAATTTAATAGGTGAACAGCGGGAAATAATTCAACTTTTAATCAAAAATATTTTAGAATAATATTTCTAGTGCATTTTAAAATTTCCTGCAATATTAAATACATTCTTTAGATTTCTAGAAGTGTGATTTAAACAGAACGAACATAACCTCTTCACTTTAAAATGAGATTTTAAAAATATTTTCAAAAAAATCATTATAGTTTTTTTTAATAAAACTAAAGTTTGGTGGATTTGTTGAGGTTTAAACTTTAATTCTAAGTAAACATGGCGTCCCACCATACAGAAAATAAGGTTGTTACACAATCAAAGGTATAATAAAAATCAAAAACCAAAATATTCAAACTTACACCCTTAAATATTCAAGTTGAATTTGTGCGTAGAAATTATTACCCCTTCTGCTTCAAAACTTTTTTTTTTTAACAGTTTATGAAAATATTGTCCTTTAAAGTCTGCAGTGTTAAATTTAATATTTTTAGATTTTTATGACACACCCTAGCGTACAGGGTTACCCACATAACACAAGACTGTAAAGACGACTATTAAAATAAACGATTTGATTGTTGAACGAAGTATTTTGCCATTAATATAGTCGTTTAATGGCTTATTTAATAATTGGACAAAAAACAAACAGGCTTTAGTTCTTTAAATTCTGTAGTTCCTTTCTTCTTAGTAGCAAATATACGCTGTTCAGTTGAAACGTTATAACTGAAAATGGCGATTTTTTTTATTACAATTTTGAAAATTTTCTGCGATTCTGTAATTCAATCTTTTTAAAATTTTAGATTTCGATAGAAGTTATTTAATTACGCATTTTTGTTCGCGGATTTTTTTTTGGGCTATTGGAGTATCACAAAAAATTACAAATTTTCAAAAAATATTGAAAAAACACCATTCAGGAGAGTTGCACAAAGAAGGTACAATTTTGCTCCAGACGCCGCAAATCACAATTTTTTTGACTCACCCTGTATATATAGATTGAAATATAAATAAGTAAACTTACTGTCACATGCATCTCCAAAAGCATTTATCTTGGGAGCAGGGCAGCACTGGTCAAGAACGTTGATGTCTGTTTGACGGAATATTTTTAGAATCTGATGCCGGAGTTCATCATTTGCCTCGTCGATATTACCCTCTGTTAGAATATTCAGGGAAGTTCTCACCAGAGCAAACAGTGTAGCATTGAAATTTACAGAGCCGTCGGAGTTCAGAGGCATATTCATCGCAACCAGTCTCTAGAGATAAAGGACTTTTTTTTGTGGGCTTCTAATTTTTAATGTTTATTTCTAAAGTTTGAACGGTTATAGAAATTGGTTCTACAGTTTAACTAAGAAATTCAGGGACATCGCAAGAATTTAAACAAAATAGTTTTCTAAACTTAAACTGATAATGAAATGCTGCAGATATTTAGCTTTTCAATTAAATAATCATATATACCTCTTTAAAACTGAATTCCCGCATTTTCATGGCTATTTTTTCGTTTTTGCAATTACTGAGATTTAGGTAAAAAATTGTGAAAAAGAAACTTTATAAATTCTTTCGATGTTTCCGAAGTTCTTAGTTAAACTGTAGAATCAATTTTTCTAACCGTTCAAACTTCATAAATAAAGATTAACATGATGTTTATACAAAGAAATCTATCCAAGATCTCTTCTTATTATAAAAAATAAAAGCGTGACATTGTATACAGAAAAATGTGTATCTATGAAACTTTGGATCGACTTATTGTGTATCTATGAAACTTCGGATCGACTTATTAATACGAAGTAGAAATTCAGGGACATCGCAAGAATTTAAACAAAATCGTTTTCTAAACTTACTGATAATGAAATGCTGCAGATTTTTAGCTTTTCAATTAGATAATCATATAGACCTCTTTAAAATTGAATTCCCGCATTTTCATGGCTATTTATTCGTTTTTGCAATTACTGAGATTTAGGTAAAAAATTGTCAAAAAGAAACTTTATAAATTCTTTCGATGTTTCCGAAGTTAGAATCTCTAGCCGTTCAAACTTCATAAATAAAGATTAACATGATGTTTATACAAAGAAATCTATCCAAGATCTCTTCTTATTATAAAAAATAAAAGCGTGTATCTATGAAACTTCGGATCGACTTATTGTATATCTATGAAACTTTGGATCGACTTATTAATACGAAGTTGATTTGTAAAATCGTCCAAAAGGAGACACTTGTCGAACAATTGAATTCAAAGATTGGTTTTATCTAAACGCTTAAGTTTTAAGTTAATTCCGTAGGACGTTTTTGCGGAACCATATTCATTCGGAAAAGATTGAAACCCTGTTCTGGACACCAGGATAATAGTTTTCTTTTTATGAGTTATATAATTAGAAATAAATACTGAGATAAAAACAAAGTTTTTATCGTCTTTGTTCAGTCGTAGCAACGTTTTAAATTTGCAAACTAAACAAAGACGACATTCATTTAAAAAAATCTTATTTACATGATTTACCACTAGGAATGAGACTTCAGAGACGACAACTGTACATAATGTAAACAATCTGTTTCTTTATATTCATTATTTTCTGAAACCATAAACTTATTTCTTTCTTTAATATCTTTAATTTCAAACGTGAAAAAGTTTCACAATTTCACGTTGTAATGCAGTCTCATTCACTGAGGGTAACCCTGTAGATTTTACCTTGCAGGCTACTCTATGGGGGCAAAGCTTTCCAAATCCAAGAGGTGGTGAAATCTTCCTGAGTAGGGTTACCACATCTACATGCTTTATAAAGCCCTAAAAACAAGCAACTATACAATGACTAGAAAACAATGGAAAGGAAAGACTACTGTATAGCGATACTTAAGTTAATTTGATTTTGTTACACAGCAAATAATTTACTAGACACCTATATCAAACTACTAGTTTAGTGAAATGGATCTGTTAACTCTGTTTACATGTATTGATTTGTATCAGCCCAGCTCACAAAATGTTACATGAAGGAGATAATTCATTTAATGTACACCTATTTGATCGTTCATAGTCTGTATATTGTTACGGTACAGTGTACACTGTACAATTTACCATATAAGTAGAGTTCCCAGCGAAAAGTGGAAATCGTCTAGCAAAAATTCCGCATTTTTCCGAGAAAAAAAATTTTGCCGAAAATTTTCTATTTTAAAAGCATTTCGTTCACTCGCATAAAATGCAAAACTTCCCTTTATTTTGTTTCGCGAACAAACGCGAAATTGTCGAAAAATAAGAGTTGCGAATATTTCGTGAAAAAAACACAAAAATTTAGCGAAACAATGTGAAAATTTCAAGAAAAAATTCTTTTCATCAAACATTTCTTAAAGTAAAGGAAGACTAAAGAGAAATCATTAATTATAAAACTTTTAATGCTGAAGTTTTTTGTGTGCAATTAATTGTTGCAGCTACAACACTTTTGGTTTTCGCGGAATTTTTTTTTCACGAAATTATTTTTTCGAGAAATTTCTGTTCGTTTTCGCATTTTTTTCGCTTATTTCATTTTTGCGAAAAATTGCGAAATTTCGCGAAAAAATTTGCGAAATACTAACGAAAATTATCGCATTTTTCCGCAAAGTTTTCGTTCGCTGGAAACCCTACCTATAAGCTGTCTAAAAGTCGGAACGGTATTTCATATAAACCGTTTATATTAGCTAGTGTCTGGTCTATTTATTAGTTTTCATAATTTCCATTTTTTTAACAACAATAACCTTTTTTGACAATTATTATAAAATAATGTTGTGGAAGACGATGCCTGGCCGCGTTAAACTAGTTCCACAAGATTCAACAGAATGAGATAGAACGGATACGGGGCATAGTACTGATATCATGCTCTACAGTCTACACGTGCGATATCGATATTGACTCTAGTTCTGAACCCTCTAGTAATAAGTTATAAGAAATATATATACTGGAAGTTATTTATGCGTTTTTATTAGAGTCTGACTCACGTCCTCTATAATGTCACCAATTATTACAAACTATTGATATCTTAGATTACTTGATTTAACCGAATTCATTGGGTTGCAAAGATATAGGGATTTGAGAATCAAAGTTTGTGGACAAGATTCAATTGCTTAATTCCTTTAAAGATTCACTTAACTTAAAGCTTAATTCTCTAATTTTACCAACGAGTCTCAATTTGAAATATATTTTATATTTTGAGTTTACTTTTAAAGGTTAAAATCAATTATGATCTATTTTCGGAATTAATAATTTTTCTTTTTTTAAAATCGATCTTCTGCACTCTAAACTACAGGGCGAATTCGAGATCGTCTTTGTTATACATTAGCATTGTAATACCTACTTACAAAAGCCATAATATTATTATGTCTGCTAGAGTTTATTTTATAATAAGGGTAAAAGACCGCAAAGATGTGTATATAATGTCTCTGCAAGATGAAGTTAATTCTGTTCGTATACTGCAATTTTCTTGTTTTACTAAGTACTGAACTCCCATGTTTATTGAGACACCCTGTCCGAAATCAAACAAATTGGATGGCTGACAAATAAAAGACAAAAGGTTGCTTATATTCGTCAAACAATTGCTTATTTGGCACTGATTTTATATTGAATATAAGCAATTTTTGTCGATTATGTTGCAGCCTTAATTAACTTTTGCTGCCAAGTAAACGATTTTTTATTTCGAAATTTGAGTTTAGAAACCTTAGATCTGCTTGTCCTTTGATCTGATAGGAATTTTGTCTGATATTCTAATGTAAAGAGAATTAAAACTGAAAAGTGAGGAATTTAATCTCGGTGATATTTTAGATCTAAGATTATTTTTTTTAGGAAGAAATGAATCAAACAATTAAAATTCAAGCTTCACTAAATATTTAAAATTTGTTTAACGTAGAGCTTGGAACTTTAGAATTGGATTCCATTAATCTCTATTGCTTAATCTGAATATCTTAATTTCCTGCTTAACCCTATTCCTGCTGGGTAGTTTTTTTTACATAACTCAAAAAGTATTGGTCTGAGGCTGTTGAAATTTTCTGACTTTTCTTACATACCCAAAGCCCTCCCTTTAGGCCTAAAACCTGAATGACTGCTTTTGCCTGTAGCAAACTAAATCTTTGTTTTGACCCACTTTCACTTGTCAGATTTTGATAAAATTTAGCTTTTTGGAAAGCCTATGACATAAGGAAACGGATTGCACAAGTTTAGGTATAATAGTTTGAAAATTGTCAAGACGACATTTCATAATTTTTTTTGATTTGTTCTGAGATAAACTGTATAAAAATACCTTCGCATCAGGATCATATTCAGACCAGAGATGAACAAACTCAGAGAGATGGTGTGGACCCAGAATAGACCAATCTCTGAGAAAAAAGAATAAATCAATCAATCAATCAACCAATTAACCTATCGAGCAATTAATCAATCGTTAAATCAAATAATCAATTAATTATTCGACCAGTCAGTCAATTAATCAATCAATTATCAATAATCGATCTATAAATTAATTAACCAATCAAATAGACAATCAATCAATCAATCGATCAATCAATCAATCGATTTATCAATCGATCAATCAATCGATTTATCAATCGATCAATCGCTCAATCAATTAATCAATAAATAAATTGAGCAATTTATCAACCTGTCAGTCAATCAATCAATCAATTATTAAATCAATCGATCAAGCAATCAATGTATCAGCCAACCAACCAATTAAATATATACTATCCAATAGTAGAAATGTATTGTAAATAATCATCTTGCCATGAATCCAAACAAAATCATTTACATGCAGTCAATAATAAGTCTTTGAATGATAAAATATATTTTGAATCTACTAAAACAAGAATCTAATTATGTTTTCTTATTCTTTTATTGCAAGGATGAGAGCTGAAGAATATTTAGCTAAACTACGCAGTTCAAGGCTAAGAGACTAAGAGAGGAAGGGTTGGGCACGTTTCTACTTTTCAAAATAATGGTTTATCAAATTACTTTTAATATCGCTATTTTTTGTCATTTTTCAATAAACAAGAGTTTCAGGGATTTTTCTGTTGAAATTAGAGAATATTCAAAAATATTAAATGTCAATTTTTTTAGATGTAATAAACCTTTCCTGGGGTCTGTCAGCCTAATTTCAAATAACCCTTTACATCTTTTAAAAGATTTATCTGATCAAGTAAGTAAATTATATCCTCGTGTATAATTATAAAAACTGATTGTTTTCTTTACAAAACCTGACTTTTCCACTGCAGAATATCTTATAGTAATTAAACACGTACGCAATATATTACGCAATACCGTACGCAATACCAAGTGCTTGTATAACATATTCTGTTCGTTAATTGAACTTTGCTCAGACCTAGTCAGAGGAGATCTCTCTCCCTTCATGAATGACGGGGCTTTATATGCGCATTCTCGCCACGTATGACGTCAAACTTTCCTTAAATATCTAAAAGTTACTCACGAAGGATTATCTTTTGTAAAACAATATGAAAAAACATGTTGAATTTGACCCGCTTTTAAAATATATTAATGGATAGTTAGACAGTTTTGAATAGTTTTGCTGACAATTAATGTAGGGCATGAAAAATATTGTTGTAAGAACTTGATAAAAGTTTTTTAAAATCCATTTTGTAAAATAATTGTTCCCCTCGTTCAACAGTAACTTCTTTGTATCTTTGTTGTGGGTGGGCTACGTAGGCCTAAGATGACCGTGCACGACATGCTACGTTTTTACGATGGGTTTTTAGAGTGCCATCTCACGGCCACTTGTTGAACATAATACCCATTCAGGGGTTAAGTTTTACAACTTTTAAAGAAATACTCCAATTTTAAACATGAAACATAACATTTATGAATTCAGTCTTTTTTAGAAAATTTTGTGTTACGTATCCAAAGGATCCTTAAATATCCCTGAATACAGATGTTTGCTGATTGGACGTGTAGAGTACTTGTACACAATAGAACATTCTGTGGAAAATATCGCATATTTTAGCTGGTAATCGATCTCTGTAACTCTTATTTCTGGTTTCATCTCTATTTGAATTCAATCACTTAAAACGCATATGCGACAAAAAAAGTATTAAAGAGAAAACGTGTAAGAGATCAAATTGTGATCGCAAGTCACAACTCTCTGGGATAAGGACCGAATTGTTAAATGAACGTGATCCCTTAGTACCTGGTGAGGTAGTCGAAGTTGTCCATGATGACGGCGACGAAGAGGTTGAGGACCAGAAAGGCGCACATGATGAAGAAGGAAATGAAGAAAGGATACGCTACAAAGGATCCGCATCCACCCTCCTTTCCAGCATCATCAGAATACGGATCACAGATTGCCTCCTCACTGTAAATATATTAAAGGGACTGTACGCGTAATTTCAAGTGAAAGATGGCAATGCCCGATTCACAACGATACCCTTAAAAGCTTTGTCTTATCAAGTCTGAAGATCAATGTCTATAATTTTGCAAAACTGATTATTTCTCAACAAAAGTGACTCGCGCATTTCTACTACAGGAAAATATATAAGAAATATCAGAATCAAATACTTTTGCACCTATAAAACATTATTGATCAGATAAAGGTTTTAAGCAAAGAGAATAGAATATATTAGAGTGGAATTTAAACAATCCCTCGGTATGAAATTTGTCAGTCCCTTTCAGCCTGAAAGGGAGTTTAAAGTGTACATTTCATGTAAATGTTCACAAATTATACGCAGTACATCACACTAACACAGTATGATTCCGACATATCCATTCCAATTTCTTTGTTTTATAATGTTGATAGAAAACTTTAAACGTGTGTATTTGCTTTAGGTGAATTAAACATTGAAATGTAAAAATCGTCGTTTGTAAAGTGAATTTAATAAGAAGACTTTTCTATAAAATGATGTTTCAGGGCCCAACAGGTTCTATAGCACCAATGTGTGAAGTACACCTGCAGTATGGAAAATGGAAACAGTACAACAAAATGGCCGTTTTACACTTTTTTGAGTAAATTCCACTCTACTATATTCTATTCTCTTTGGTTTTAAGAGTACCGTCGTGAATCGGGATACAGTCTTTTTAACAGTGTAAACACACATGGGTCCTTTTGTCGATCTGGTACAAGGATTTACCAGTCTACTGTTCCAGTACAGCATTTACTCGTCTTTGGACAATTTGTACAATATTTAAATATGAACAGCAAAAAACAAAAAGGGCAATAAAATACGCTGGATAAATATTCCCATTCTAGTAAGCCAATAATAAACGCCATAACAAGGCATTCTACGATTAGAATTGATAAGAATTTATAAAGAAAGTAAAAAAGGAAACTTTTAAATTGTGGAAAACGAAGCCAAGTTTTACCTTGGTATACAGCTCAACATGATTTCTTGCCAAGCTTCTCCTGTGGCAGACCTAGAAAAAAATAAAAAAAATGTTTGTTTTTAGCCAAGTATATCTTTTAATTGGATTGGATGATCCAAGTCTGTGAAGAGAATAAATATAAAAATTAGAAATTTTATATAAAGTCTGTGAAAGAGGGATCCCATGTCAGGCTTCGACATCCGTTTTGTGTTTAAATTACCACCCAGAGACAGTACACTGCAGTACAAAAGATGAGTACACCTCTGAAATAACTTTCCCTGCATTATAACCTTGGATTAAATGAAGTCTGTAAAATGATCTTTTACATAAATATAAAAATTAGCAATTTATCAAAAGAATATTTCTTAATTTGATTTTAAGAAGTAATGTGATCTTTTAAATAAATATGGTTTGATTAATTTCTAATCTTAACCTTAAACAGAAGAAAATATTTTTTTTGGTGCAATACAAGTTTCTTATGGCTAAACCACATTTTTGAAAATGTCAGATTAAATAAAAAACTTGAAAGCTTGTATTGCTAAAGGGACTTTGCCCCTCCATGTAAAGATGGCAATGCCGGATTCATAACCACTGCACTGCATCCATAAAACTTTGAATAAGATACCTATGATTAAAAAGGTTTAAAAACTGATTATTTCAATTGTGGGTTCTCTACATAAATGACTAGCACAATTCTACATAAAGAAAATATATACGAATTTTCGGAAACAAACACTTTTAAGCCTAGAAAAATGACATTTTTTGATCAGGTACCGCTATGAATCGAGTATTGTCGTCTTCGCATGGAGAATCACTCGAAATTACGCCAATAGTCTCTTTAACCCCAAACGGATATAGGAGGAGGGGGAGGGTATACAGAACTTTTTGTGTGGATCCCCGTCCCCCCCTTTCCTAAAAAGGCCTGAATTCAATTGTAAATTATAGAATTTAAAAACTTTTTAAAAATGCTACCTGAAGAGTACCAACATGGCCATGGGAAAGGACTGGAAGTTATTGTTCCGATGAATATTGGTTCCCTCCTAAACAGTAAAGAAACTGTTTGATAAAATGATACAGTAACTTGTTACTAACTTTATTTATATGTATTGTTTGATAAAAGGATAAAGTAACTTGTTACTAACTTTATTTATATCTATTGTTTGATAAAAGGATACAGTAACTTGTTACTAACTTTATTTATATCTATTGTTTGATAAAAGGATACAGTAACTTGTTACTAACTTTATTTATATGTATTGTTTGATAAAAGGATACAGTAACTTGTTACTAACTTAATTTATATGTATTGTTTGATAAAAGGATACAGTAACTTGTTACTAACTTTATATCTATTGCGTCTTTAGACAGAAAATTATTAAAAACGTCTTATTATACCTCTGAACGTAGCGTCCATACAAATTCAAAGAGATACATTATTCCATTTAGAATAACTGTAGACGCAACAGATAGAATTAAAATTAGTAGCGGTTGATATCGAATTCAATCCGACATCAGCCTACACCCCCTTTCATCTTTCGCGAACACTCCCTTCTAAGAAAAAGGGAGTGTTGTTGTAATTTCAACTGATACTTTAATTACCTTTTTTTACAGCAAAGTCTAAAATTGAAAATTAAAAAAATTACCTGTATAGCAATCCTGCCCATCATCTGCATGCCAACAGTTCCATAAATGAAGAAAATAAGGCCAATCAGCAGCATTACCCAGGGCAGGGCCTAGAAAAATAACAGCGTTAAAACATTTTCAATATATATATTAAAGGAGCTGTGTGACCTGCAAGGAAATACATGGCAATTTCCTATTCTTAGGCTTTGTCTAATCAAGAATGAATTAGAAACTAATTTGTTTATAATTTTAAAAACTAGTTTAAATTGTGAATTCCATACAGAAGTGACTTGTGCATGTTTATCCTAGAAAAACGATAGTGTCTCCCACATTATTGATCAGATAAAGGTTCCCAGTGTACCAATGTGTATCGGGTAATGGCATTTTAGCATGGAGGGTCATTTGAAATTGCGCTTACATTGCCTTTCAGAAGAGTACCAACATTGCCATAGGAAAGGACTGGAAGTTATTGTTCCGATGAATATTGGTTCCCTCCTAAACAGTAAAGAAACTGTTTGATAAAAGGATACAGTAACTTGTTACTAACTTTATTTATATCTATTGCGTCTTTAAGGAGAAAATGAATAAAAACGTCTTACTATACCTCTGAACGTAGCGTCCATACAAATTCAAAGAGCTACATTATTCTATTCGGAATAATATACGCAACAGATAAAATTGAAATTAGTAGCGATTAATATCGAATTCAATCCGACATCAGCTTACACCCCTTTTCATCTTTCGCGAACACTCCCTTTAAAGAAAAATAGTGTGTTGTTGTAATTTCCACTAACACTTTAATTACCTTTTTGAGATTTATATACTTTTTCAATTAAGACAGTTTTTAAAAGAATTTTTTTCCTTTGTATTCAGAAAAAAATGTGGTTTACATAAATGTTGCATAATTATTTACAGCAAAGTCTAAAAAAAAGAAATTTACTTGTATAGCAATCCTGCCCATCATCTGCATGCCAACAGTTCCATAAATGAAGAAAATAAGGCCAATCAGCAGCATTACCCAGGGCAGGGCCTAGAAAAATAACAGCGTTAAAATATTTTCAATATATATATATTAAAGGAGCTGTGTGACCTGCAAGGAAATACATGGCAATTTCCTATTCTTAGTCTTTGTCAAATCAAAAATGAATTAGAAACCAATTTGTTTATAATTTAAAAACTAGTTTAAATTGTGGCTTCTCTACAGAAGTGACTTGTGCATGTTTATCCTAGAAAAACGACAGTGTCTCCCACATAATTGATCAGATAAAGGTTCCCAGTGTACCAATGTGTATCGGGTAATGGCAGTTTAGCATGGAGGGTCATTTGAAATTGCGCTTACATTGCCTTTCAAGGGGATTGTAGAAATGATAATAAGTGATCCGTCCATTAATTTTTAAAATGGCATTTCTGATTCAAAACGGCAAACCTTTAATTCCTATCTGAGTAACAATGAAGAATATATTGTCGCTTTTCTTGGTTAAAAATTGTTTGATTCAGATAATGTCTTTCATGTCTCTGCTGCATTAGTGTCATATTCATTGAGATACCACTATTGAGAATAATCCATTTTCAAATGAGGATACCTCTGTCATCTTTAATAAAGCCAAGCTGTTAAGGGTACCCTTGTAATCGGACATGCCACTCTATAAATTGTGGGTCATCACAAATAACGTCTACAATTCCTTTAACCCGCTGCATATTTAAAGCATACAGTATACAGTCTATAATTTCCTGCCTTGAAGGACTTCATGAAGGTCCAGAGTAGAGTTCTAATATTCTCGTTCTTGTTCAACAACTTGACCAGCCTCATCACCCTGAACAGTGAACATAGAGATGGATCGTTTTTTCGTTTTTTTTTGAAAAACTATCGTTTCGTTTTTATAACGACGAAGAAAAAACTAAAACGAAAGATCGTTTTTTTAAATTAAAAATTACTTTTAGTTCATCGTTTGGTAAAAGATTGTAGGTCATTTAAAATTTTTGACGATAGTTAACAAGTTTTTTAGACAAAATACATCTCTCGGTCGGACAACCCCTAGACGAAAAACGAAACGAATAATGATAGTTTTATCGATCGTTTTCAACAACTATTATCAACCTGAAGAGCCTGAAGAAAGAGATGGACACCATCTCAGCGTCCGGAGCTAACTGAGCAGCTCCCAGGTCGACCAGGGACCCAACCACAATGAAGAAGTCAAATCCGTTCCATGGATCAGAGAAATAGTTCTTAAATCTAGGAAATTATAATTTTATCATTATTTTAGTATTGTGTAAACACAAGGAGTAGGTTCAATTCATGCTTCATTACTGTTACAACGATAGTTATAAAATATATATTTTTTGTAAGGTCAAAATTTGTCATAATGAAGACAAGCACATGTTTAGAATCATAACATTTTTAAAACAATTTTATTAAAATTTCCAAGATTTCCAAGATTTTTGAAGTTGAGGTTTTTTTAAACTTTGCAAAAAAAAATTGTAAAACGTTTTAAAAACGACCGTTATAAAACAAATAATTTTTGTTAGGTAAAACTTTTCCATAATGAAGACAAGCACATGTTTAGAATAATACATTTTGAAAAGTTTTCTTTTCTTACTCCCTGAAATGAAATGTAGTTGCAAAAAACTATTGTGAAAAACGTAATACCGATGATTACCTGAAAGCCCCGAACTTGAGAATGAACTCCCCGACGAAGAAGAAGGTGAAGATGAGATTGAGCACGTCGAGGAAGTCTGTGTACCACTCCGGCTGGTGGTAGAACTTCATGGCCAGGGAGATGGTGTTGAGAATGATCGCCAGGAATACAGTGTTCTCACACAAAGGTGAGGTCGCGAAGGACCAAAGTTTGTACTGTACAGGGTTCTATGTACAGCCGTCGTTCATTTAAACAAGTTTGAAATTTTGAAATTTTTATATTTTCTTTAATTTCAACTGAAAGTTTGAGCAAATATTTAAAAAAATAATTTTTCAATAAATGTAAACACAGCCTCTTTTATTTTATTTAGTTTGATAATCTTAAAGTAAAAGTAAAAGAAGTTTACAGATTCAATTATGAATTAAGAAGCACCAGGGACTGATTTCAACTGTAACCTTAAAGCCTTTGTAAAAAAAGTTTATCTAATCATTGATGACTTTTAAGTTCTATTTCTCTTGAAGTGACTTGGCGAATTTGTTGACAATAGTCAAGGATTTAAATGAACAGTATTGATATATTTTCAAAACGAACATATATTCGTCATTGTTACTAGGATAATGGTTTAATGCACTCTTGTATGCCGAGTCCATTAGCGCCTGATCCAATCAGGGTTCAGTCATGTGTTTGATGTCTATTCTGAACCAATAGAAATTGCATGGCGGTAACATCTATCTTTCTATCTATCTCATTATCCAATCAGAGGTAAATCCTTATATCGGCGCTATAGCAGTAAATGGAAGTATTTACTTCTACTGAGACTATGGTGAATGGGTACTGCGTTTAAAGCAAGAAATGCGCAAGTCACTTTTGCAAAGAAATCAAATAAACAGTTTGAAAAAAAACAAGAATATGGATTCATACTTGATCAGACAAAGTTTAAAAGGGTAGGGTTGTAAATCAGACATTCTCATTTAGCATTGAGGGCCACTTGAAATTAAATCAAGCAAAATTACGCTTACAGTCACTTCAAATCAAGCAACATTACGCTTACAGTCATTTTAAATCAAGCAACATTACGCTTACAATCATTTTAAATCAAGCAAAATTACGCTTGCAGTTCCTTTAAATCAAGCCCTTTGAAAATACGTTGATATTCTCTTTAAAAAACAACAAAGCAAAAATGATAAAAACAAAAGTTGAAAAGTTTATGAAAACTATGTTTAATTTCCCTCGGGCTAAAAACTAAATTAATTCAATTGTTTGAACGGCATTCCTTAGGGATATAAAGTTTAATTGGTTTGGCGTTGAGAGCAAACTCGATACAGTTCCTTTGGTTCTTATCTAAAATAAAATGTCATTCTTTTAAATTTTCTTTAAAGGAATTATCACCTTTTTCACAATACAAATAATACCAAATTTTTAGAAACTATTCGACACACAACAAATACTTAGTTTCGAAACTATACAGCATACAACAAATACTTAGTTTCGAAACTATACAGCATACAACAAATACTTAGTTTCGAAACTAAACAGCATACAACATTTACTTAGTTTCGAAACTATACAGTGTACAACAAATACTTAGTTAACTTTACAGCATACAACAAATACTTAGTTTCGAAACTATACAGCATACAACAAATACTTAGATTCGAAACTATACAGCATACAACAAATACTTAGTTTGAAACTATACAGCATACAAGAAATTATTAGTTTCGAAAAAAAAATTATTCAAATGCAGCGATGCCTTATTGCCAAAAGACACAAATCTTGATATAAATAAATTTATTTGAACCTAAAATGAATCATGATGAAAAAAAGATTTTCTGTTAAAAAAAATTTTCTTGTAAAAGAGGACTCAAAACTCACTTTAACGGAGTAGAATTTAATTTTAATTCAGAGAACTTTAATTATGTTTTTGATTTGTTATACTTTATGAGAAGTATTTTCATAAACTATTAAACCGGAATTTAAAATGTTTATTTGACAAAAAGAATTGAGTTTTAGAGGATTAAAAACAAAAATTAAAGTTACGGTTTCATTTTGAAATAGATAAACAATCCCGTTAACAAAATTGGAGCAAAGTAGATTTCATTATTTTCCTGTCAGCTTAAGTAAGAGAGGTTTTTGTTTAGTTACAAATTAAATTTTAAATTGAATAATGGTTTTTCTATCATTCTATTTATCTTAAAACAGAACACGTGTAATTTAATTTTTTTATTGTCTATCTGTCTATCTGTCTATCTGTCTATGTGTCTAACTGTCTATATGTCTATCTGTCTATGTGTCTATCTGTCTATGTGTCTATCTGTCTATCTGTCTATGTGTCTATCTGTCTATGTGTCTATCTGTCTATCTGTCTATCCGTCTATCTGTCTATCTGTCTATCTGTCTATCTGTCTATCTGTCTATCTGTCTATCTGTCTATATGTCTATCTGTCTATGTGTCTATCTGTCTCTATGTCAATATGTCAATCTGTGGATCTGTCTATCTATATATATATATGTATATCTTTCTATCTGCCTATCTGTCTATCTGTCTATCTGTCTATCTGTCTATCTGTCTATCTGTCCATCTGTCTATCTGTCTATCTGTCCATCTGTCTATCTGTCTATCTGTCTATCTACCTAAGGGACAGTTCTTGAAATCTGCTTCTCCCTCTGACTGAAAGGTGACAATAACGAAACCGACGAAGATATTGATCATGAAGAAGGCAAGGATGATGATGTAGATGAAGTAGAACATGAAGACAATAGGACGATAATCTTCTTTAGGACCAATATCAGCGTTATTAGAATCAATAGACACGTACAGAATTCTGAAAAAAAGAAACTGAGTTATTGCCACAAACTCAAATTTTCTGTTTCCTGTTTCCTTGCATTCTGATGGTATAAACCTTTTTAAGTATCAAAGGTCATACGACGTATGGTTGCAATCATATATGAATTAAAAAAGTCAAAATTTATGGCAAAATAATGTTTAATATGGGGGCGGGACGGGGGGGGGGGGTGATTTGGAGTGGGTGTTATTCCTCATCTCGTTCTATTATATAGTTTAATTCCGTATATAAAGCTTGCCTTAAGAATGATTACATAAAATGCTTTCAAAATTTTAATTCCAAAATAATCAAATATCTAGATACTTGAACTTTATATTATAAGATACTAAATGTGTGGAGAGCTGGTGAGTTAGAAGATAAAAATTCCTAAACCTCAAACAATATATACTTTATATCTCTAATGAGTAGATTAAAAACTTCAGGCCTTTTGACCTTAAGTTCCTTAACGCCCTCTGGGACAGTTAAGTAAAATAACCACCCGTTCTGCAAAGTTTTTGTGAAAAAAATTGTGCATTTTCATCTCAAAAGACGATAAAATTGTATACAACTACTATTTCGGGAAATTAAAATTTTTTACTTAAAGAGAGTGGCCGGCAATGTAAGGTTAGTTGAACTGAGTATGCAGTGTTGTGGAAAACTTCTTTTGTTTTCATTTGAGACATATTAAACTTTTTAAAGATCTATAAACCCTGAGTTTGAGCGCAAATTCGACGTTCAAAACTCCTACTTTGGGAGTGGATACGTTTTCAGAATTAGTTTTTTTTAAATTATTAAATAACGACAACGAAAAGAGTAAAAATTATACAGTAATCTAATTAGATGGTTAGGAAAATATTTCTCAAAAATCGATTATTTCGTTTTCATTATTATATTGAATTTCTTCTCGTTTTTTGAATTTATTCGCAGATTTCTTCCAATTCTTCAAATGTCGTCTTTTCAATAATAATTCTAGAAAATCTGTGAAAATCTTTTTAACTATAATGAGAAACCAGAATAATGTGAAAATAGAAACTAATAATTGAACAAGATTATTTATTTTCGATGATAAGATTAATTTTTATTTTCTCAACATGTTCCTATACATGACGTCTGTAGTTTATTGTTGTACTTTTTTGCATTTTATGTCGTCGTTATTCAATAATTTAAAAAAACTAATTCTGAAAACGTATCCACCCCCATAGTAGGAGTTTTGAACGTCGACTTTGCGCTCAAACTCAGGATTTACAGATCTTCAAAAAGTTTAATATGTCTCAAATGAATTCGAAAGAAGTTTTCCACAACACTGCATACTCAGTTCAACTACCTTACATAGTCGGTCACTCCCTTTAACCACGAGTTCCCACGACGAGTTTTGCTAGTTCTGGTGAACCCTTGGTAAAGTAAAATTCCCTTATTTTCCCTTCAAAGTAGTTGTAAATAAGTTTTATATACCGCCTGACAACCATTCAGTGTCCTGGACTCGTGTAGAACTTGTTAACCAGTATAATAGATAAATATGACACTATGTAAATATTATAGGAAAAATCAAGTTAAATTAAGGCTGTATTATCGAAGACTTCAAAGCCGTGATACCTTTTATATTCACACTTTTTCATATAGTGCAAAATATCGTATTAAACTCATCTCTGAAATATTATGCCATGTCATATCTACGTAAAGTATTTACAGCTGCATTGTGTCCCAAAATTATAAACCAAATAATTTGGCAGTTATAGTCGGAGGTGTCGAGAAAAAAGTATGAGAAAGGAATTAAAAATTTGACACAAACTCAAATTTTCTAATCCCATTTTTGCATCTTCATAGAGTGTCAACTTAGATTATTTAATCCAACAGAATTCATAGTTTGAAAATCTCTAATCCTTTTATCTTTTCAACGCAATCTATAACATATGTTAGATCAGATTAGAAAATCAGAGTTTGTGCCCAAATTTCAAAAATTACCAAAAAAATATAAATAAATGAATTGTTTACCCGGGCCATCCCTCAAATGTAGAAACAACGAAGAGAGTAAGCATAGCCTTGACTACGTTATCATAATGGAAACTAGAACGCTCCCAGATACGCTCTTCTATTACGGGCTTGTTAATGTCTGAAAAAATGTAAAACTATTTTAAAATCAACAATATACATGAATGTTCGCAAAAAGTATCTTTCTGTTTTCAAGATAATGGTAAAATCGCGAGGTTTTTGCAAAATATATTTTTACAAATGAACATTGATACCCATAATACTGTGGAATGGGAAGACGACATTTATGCAATATTATGTGAATTTGATGTTTTTATGTAGCAAATATATTTTAATCAGAAGCTTAACAATTAGGAAAGAAATAGATCTATGAACAGTGTAAACTTCACATTATACCATAGTAAAGCTATTATTTTCTAATTCCACAGTTTTATGTATCCCACTGTATTTAAAAAAACCGATCGTTTCGTATTAAAAACGACAGAGAGAAAAAAACGTTCGTTAAAAAAAAGATCGTTGTAAAAAAATCGTTATTCGTCTTTTGAAAGTTCAAATCGAGTGACTTGTTTTAAAAACTATCGTTTATAGATAAACATAAAAACGAAACGAAAAACGTTCGTTTTTTCGATCGTTTTAAAAAACGATTAACAACCCTACAGGCAGGGCATGCTATATTCCGGCAAAAGGTTTTAGACTGCAATTTTGGAGTTATTTTTTACAATTTTTAAAGAAATACTTTAACATTTAATAAAAACATGAAATTTATTAATATAGTATATTTTGAAATATCCTTTAATATCCCTGAAAATATATGCCTTAGAATTTGTTGTGTACTAGTAATAAAGTTGTGTAAAAAATTCTAGCCTTTAATATATCTCTGTTTAGTACTTATGGAACTTATGCTTGTATGTACATAAGTACATCCTTATATATAAGTGCATTGTACTGTACATAAATACCTGAATCTCTGTACTCAAAGTACTGTCCTTGACATTCAGCTTCTGTCATTTTTGATAGATCTGTACAGTAAAAGAACTTTCCCTAAAAAGAATGTAAGACTTGCCGTGTTAAAATACAAGAAATAGAGAGAGATCTGTGTATATGTTAGGGTCAGGTTTGGTTAAAACCCTTTCTGGGCCGATCGCTGCATCTAGAACAAGCTAGGGGGCCGAGCGCCACGGCTGTAAAGGTTCTCTCTCTGTCTTGTAATTTAACGCGGCATGTGCACGTAACTTCCTTGGGCTTCTGCCAAATTATAAAGAGTAGAATATGTTCAGGATTATCCACAAAGGATGAAACTGTAAAGACGACCTGAAACTCTTTAAATCTGATTAATCCAAGGTTAAATTAAGTCGTCTGCCTTCTTTATGGTCGTTTATTGGCTTATTTAACGAAACAAGTTAACAGTATGAATATTAGAAAACAAAAAGTTAATTTGTTTAAAGTAATTTTCCAGAGAACAAAAGTATGATTTTTTTCTTAACCCTATTTAGCTTGACGTCTGGTTTACTGACTGGCTGTCGGGGGGGGGGGGGCTCTATTTTCTTATTGTGATACAAATCTATAACATTTGATACGTTTTTGAAAAGCTCTTGGGCTCTACTTCAATAATCTCCAAAATAATTGCAAAATAAAAAAAAACCAAATATGTATTGCGAAATATAGTTATTAAGCAAAAAATGTGCAAATGAAATTGCGAAAATTTCAAGAAATTATACATTTTTGAAAAGCCCTTGACTCAGCAAATCCAAATGTGCAAAAAGCATTTGCAAATTTTTTAAAATCTAAATGTGTATTCAAGAAAAACTTAAATTGTGCAAATTCTGTGAAAAAATCTGTCGAAAATTTCTTCGCAAAAATTGTGCAATCTTCTGCTTGTTTTTGTTATAGGGTTTCCAAAGAGCTATAAAATGTTGAAATCCAAAGACTGAAAGTAGGTCTAAATATAGATTTAGTCTGGTATAGGTAAAAAAGGCATTTAGGCAGTATGCCTGAGGACTCAGGCAGTAGGTATAAAAGCCCGCTTTTACCCTTATGTAAGGAGCATGGATATATTAGAAAAGCCTGAAAGCTTTAGCTTCCTAGCCAATATATTTTTTGAGTTATCGCAAAAAAACTATGGGGGGGGGGTCAAATTGACCCCCCCCCCCGAGGCCAAATAGGGTTAAAAGAAGCTGAAATTGCCAATTAATAAAGATAGTGGACTGGCTTTTGTAACTTGCAGTTATTCAGGAATTATATTAGAGCCAAAGAAAACTTTTTAGCTTAATCAAACTCATATCTTGTAATTTTGGTTAGAAGTCAAACGTTTTTTCAAAGTCCAAATTCGTAATGATAAAATACTTTGGAGAACAACACAAGTGATTAAACAAGCGGGAAAGATATAGCCAAGAGTCTACGACGTAGCCTGTAGTAACAAAAATAATATTATTAAATATTTGTTTTTCCAATTGGTTAAATACAAAAAATTCATACAAATAAATATTTTTAGGAGTCATAAGCTGTGTCTCGACTGCTGCTTTTCTTCCAAAAATATGTCATAGCCAAATCCGGAAAAGACTATTTTAGAGTTATAAAATGATCAGTAAAAAATTTACAGAAATGATTATGTCAATCCGATCGAGAGAAAAGGGTTAAAAAGGTTATTCAAAAATGTTAAGCTTAGAACATTTACCTTGAATAGTTGGACTCCGATAACGGCAAACAAGAACTCCAGAAGAACTGTAACAACGACGATATTTCCAATCGTCTTCACTGAGACAATTAAACACTGCACCACCTTCTTTAGTCCCTTAGCCCTTAAACAGATTTGGAATAATGCGGGTTCAACCAATTTCAACAATTATCAAAATTTAAATTGAGTATTTTTACGAAACCCTTGTTGAAATTTATTAACTTTTATAACGTACTCAAAATACATTTGAGAAAGGACAACACAAAATTTAGTTCTAAATTAAAATATATTAAATTTCGTTTGAAACTAATCCTAAATCTTAATTCTTAAAATTAAAATATTTTCAAATTAAATATCACAAGAGAAGCATTACTATTCATTTTTGGAATTGTATTTTAAAACTTTAAAAAGATACTTTTCACCTTAAGTGAGAAAACAGTGGAGTGGAATTAATTTTCGGAATGTTTTTCTTCCAATCAGGACATATCATTACGAATTTTGTAATGTGCGACTATACTTTAGGCAAAAGTGCGCCCTAAACATTTTTAAAGATATTTTATTTTGAAATTCAAATTTTTAATAAAAGGTAGAGCAAAGACGAAATTTCCCCCATAGTTTTCTGTTTCTTAATGTACAGTATGATCTTTAGAAAATGTAACAAATTAAAAGCCACTCAAATCCGCCAAGAAATCCTCAGAAATCCGCAAAAATTGAATCAGTTCATTATTAGATCGGTACATTTTGATATCTGCAATTTTGACAATTTATTCAAAATGAACATGGTGTAGGGTCTGATCTAAACCCTATAAAACCAATAAAACCTATAAAAAGTCCTTTAAACTCTTGGTAGAAAGTAATTCATAATTTTGAAAAAGGAAAAAGGAAGAAAAAAGTTTACAAAGACATTCTATCCAAAATCAGTTTCGGACAGGACTAAATTTGTTGTCTTTTTTAAAGTGGCTTTTTGTACATCCAATGTAGATTGTGTTTTTGACAATGGAGGATCTAAGATGTGCACATAAAATTCTAAAATTTTAATTTACTTTGCTTCATTTGCTAACAATCATACTGTAGAGCAAAAATTGTACTAACCTATTAATTGCCCTCAAAGGACGGAGAACACGAAGAACACGAAGAATTTTCAAAAATCCTATTCCGGACCCGCCAAAAATAGAAATAAGAGAAACGGAAACAACGACGATATCCAAACAATTGAACGGACTGCGGCAAAATGCGCCAGGATGAAAGAGCAGTCCGTAGGAGATCAGTTTGAGTGTACACTCGATGGTGAATATTGTAGTGAAGAAATAGTCAAAGTATCCGAGTGTCTAAAAATAAAATTAAATCATACAAGTCATAGTTAAAATAATCTCTAGTTTTAGCTTTAACAATCTTTGTTTCAAATATATACAGTTAGGTCCTTTAAGCTGTGCAACAGTGAGACGACATTTAATAAATCTTATTTGTAATTAAGCTTGTTTTAAACAGTTTTACCATAATAGATTGAAACAGGACGTTTACAGGAATTTATCCAGGGGAGGGGCTTAATTTTTAGGGGAAGGGGGGAGGCTGAGCACGCTGGGCCTGAAAACCAACTGGAAACAATAGATTTCAACTATTCAGGAGAAGGGGCTGCATAAGCCTTGGCTTGAAAGGAAAGTGGGTCTTTGTACATTAAATAATTGCTGTGTTTCCTGTTTATTGGACTATTTAAAAGCATAAATTTATTCTTACAGTCGTCTTCCTATTCGACAGTTTTCCGAATCTCACTGTATATGCAAAATATTTAAAAGGTTTTTATATTCTAATCCTATATATACACTTTAAATTCTACAAGGGTTGTAAAAACATTTTATCAATAGAATAAAACCGAATGCACTTACAATATTGATATCAGACTTTGAGAGAAGAGGATCCTCGCAGGCCAGTAGAGCGGAGGAGATAATAATACAAACTAGGATAAAGTTTCCCATTATAGGATGCCCCTGGAGCCAGTGACAGAAGACTCGTAAACTGTTATCCTAAACAATCATTGATGACAGATGTCCTAAAAAATCAATGATCACAGATTCACAGATGTTCTTAACAATCATTGATCACAGATGTCCTAAACAATCATTGATCACAGTTGTCCTAAACAATCATTGATCACAGATTCACAGATGTTCTTAACAATCATTGATCACAGATGTCCTAAACAATCATTGATCACAGATGTCCTAAACAATCATTAATCACAGATCTCCTAAACAATCATTGATCACAGATGTCCTAAACAATCATTGATCACATATTCACAGATGTGCTAAACAATCATTGATCACAGATTTCCTAAAAAATCAATGATCACAGATGTTTTAAACAACCATTGATCACAGTTGTGCAAAACAATCATCGATCACAGATGTCCTAAACAATAATTGATCACACATGTCCTAAATAATCATTGATCACAATTGAGTTTAGAACGAGCGATCAGTTTATGTTTTGATTATCTGACCTCACATTGGGAAGGTTTAAAGTTTGAAAAAATTTGATAGCTTCCATAACTTTTTTGAGCTTGCGGCAGTAGTATCCCAGTTCATTTTCAGAAACTTAAATCTGAGAATTTATTCATTTATTCATTTATTCATTTATTCATTTATTCATTTATTCATTTATTCATTTATTCATTTATTCATTTATTATTTATTGATTTATTCATTTATTCATAAATTAATTTATTGATTTATTGATTTATTCATTTATTCATCTACAAATTTTATCATTTGTTCATCCTAAAGATATATAGAAACACATGTATATATATCAAATGTTTGAGATTATGAAAGAAAACGTTAATTCCACCCACCAAATTATAATTAGATTATGTAAGATTATATACTATAAGGTTATAATTATAATTATATTATATGGGAGGTAAACGTAACAATAGTATAATTGCTTTACATAATTAAAATATTATATTACATTATTATTAAAAATTAATAATATTTGTAGTATCATGAAAAATAAGTTTTACCATATGAAAATAATACAAAGAAATCAAGATTCTTAGAAACTGTGTTAAAAAAAATAAAATTTTCCAAAAGCCGAAAAGTAAAATTTAACAGTTATTTTAGACATTTAGATAACTTTTTACTATATTTATTATTATCTATTCAACAGAACTATGTAGGCAAGGCTCAGACGAAAAAATGACGGGCTATTCACTGTGCACATTGCACAATGCACATTTTATTCTTAGTTATGAGCATACAAAAATAAATTTTCTTAATTTTGAAATATTTTCGGTAATTTTCTATGTTTTGAAGAGCATGATGTTTTAACAGCCTGTGGGGAATGTATAGAAATAAAAATAGTTATGATTTAGGTTAATCAAAAGGATAAAATACTTGCTTGATATTCATCATAATCTTGACCGAAATATTCTTCCATGTTTATCTTGGCGTCCCCCTTCTCTTCTTCTAACCCTGAACAAAAATAAATGTTGAGTATTTAAAATTATCTGAGATATTGATAATAAGCAACCTATTGTTGTGTAGTGGGCGAAAACATTGCAATTTTAATTTAGTTGAAGAATGGAGTTTAAAAACGAAACTTCTAAATGTTTTAAATGAAAGTGGAAATTAATTTTACTTGAAGATGAAACCGTTATATAGCAAATACCAAGGAGGAATATTACTTACCTCCTCTCCTTTATTTTATTCTAGAGATTCAGGAGAAGTTAAAAATCTTTTATTTTTCCAGAACTGTAAAGGGACTGTAAAGGAAAAATGTAGAGGGGAATAGGCCGAAAGCTAATCACTTTAGCATGACACGTGACAAATTACGGAATTATACATAATATTATCAATTATATCTATTTAAAATAAAAATAAAAGTAATAAATAATGGAGAAAACCAAAGTTACAATTAGCTTCCTCTAGAATATCTTCGTTTTCAGATTAATTTCGTATTTGAATATGATCTGCTTAAACCAAACATTTTTATAGAAAATTGTATATATATGAATTTTCGTATAAGTTTGGCACAGTTTTATATCAATTTATTGAGACAAGAACATCAGATAGAACTGTCATGGGTCGCAATCAAGAGCTAAAGTGATTAGCTTTCAGCCTATACCCCCTTTCATATTTCCTTTAAAAAATATCGGCAAAAAGCTGGAGGGAGAGTCAACAAAAGAAGAAATTGGAGAATGAATGAGGAAAAAGAGATGATAAGAATATTAAAAATAGATTTTTTTTATGATTTTTATAACCCCCGCTCCCCTCAAACTCCTTACCTATTCCAGGGGGCTCCTCAGGGGGCTCCTCCCCCCCTGCCTCCTCATCCCCATCAGTAGAAAGGTTATCAACAGCAATAGCCAAGAACACATTTAACAAGATGAAGTTACCGCAGATAAACAAGATTAGGAAGTAGATGGAGGCAATGGAACCCATTCCCTGCAGAATATAAATTTATTATTTTATGATTGTTCGATGCACAACAAAACTTTTTAAAACCAATCCTGTGGAATATATTGACCTTCTTCTCTAGCTTGAAAAGGGTTTAATATAAAAACTTTCAACCAGATTGCTTCAAAAGCAGGAATACGCAAAATTATAGAAAAAACACAAAATTAAACTGATCATCGGACTGTCTCCTCACTTGAAATTACGTTTAAAAGGCACGGTACAAAATTTTAAATACTTATTAGTCACTTGAGTCTTTTCCACAAACTCTGATTTTCTAATCATTATATCTTTGGAACCAAATGTTGCAAATCCTGCACTGTATTGTACCGTACTGTACTGTAATACCTTGATGCCCCCAAATGCCTGTATTCCGTCGTACATGACCACATTCCAATCCTCACCGGTCAAAATCTAAACAATGAAAAACAAAGATTAAACATAACATTCAGATAAATTATTAAGAATCTAACATTCAGATGAATTATCACAAATCCAACATTCAGATGAATTATCAGAAATCCAACATCCAGATAAATTATCACAAATCAAACATTCAGATGAATTATCACAATTCAAACATACTTATAAATTATCACAAATCAAACATTCAGATGAATTATCACAAATCCTACATTCAGATGAATTATCACAAATCAAACATTCAGTCAAATTATCGTAAATCAAACTTCAGCTAAATTATCACAATTCAATCATTCAGATGAATTATCACAATTCAAACAAACATACAGTTAAATTATCACAAATCAAACATTATGTTTATTCAGCTGAATTATCACAAATAATATATTTAGCTTAATTATTACAAATCTAACATTCAGCTGAATTATCACAAATATAACATACAGATAAATTATCACAAATCAAGCGTTCAGTTAAATAATCACAAATCCAACATTCAGATGAATTATCACAAATCCAACATTCAGTTAAATTATCACAAATCAAACATTCAGCTGAATTATCACAAATCACTTTTTCAACATCATAGTTGTGAACAAAATTTGCTAAAATATTTATATTTGCTGCATATGGTAGGGTGGAGAATTATCGCAAATCAAACATGCAGATAAATTATCACAAATCAAACATTCCGGAGCAAACAGTCTCAAAAATTCAATTATTTAGCACAAATTAATTATAGTTAAAGCAATTTTACACGAATTTTGCCTGAAATTCCTGAAATATGGTAAAGCAGACTTTAATGAATAATCACGAATATAGCAATTTAGTTATTTCAACACTAGTCTAACTTTCAACTGACTTATCATTGGGCAATTACTAAGCTAATTTAGCACATTCAAAATATTCAACTAATCAAGCACATTAAGTCAAACATTTAATAATTTAGCACAAATCAATCCTAATTTAAACATTTTCTAGACATATTCTAATAATTTACCTGAAATACTGTAAAGCAGGCTTGAAAGAAATTATCAAAGGTTGATCTTGATTCTTCATTCAAAAATCTAGAATAGATTTAATATTAATTCTTCATTTATCAGTTTTCATTCATCCTTCAATTATATTGTTCATTCTTTATTCTCCATTCTTTATTCTTTATCCTTCATTTTTTATCCTCATTCTTTACTCCTCATCCTTAATCCTTCATTCTTTATCCTTCATTCTTTATCCTTCATTCTTTATCCTTCATGTTTCATTCTTAATCTTTTAACCTTTGATCTTAATTTATTAAACTTTATTCTTCATTCTTCATATTTCATCCTTCATTCTTAATCCTTCATTCTTTACTCTTCATTCTTTATACTTCATTCTTTATCCTTTATTATTTATCCTTCATTCTTTATCCTTCATTCTTTATCCTTCATTCTTAACTCTTCATTCTTAATCCTTCATTTTTTTTTATCTTAATTCTTTATTCTTTATTCTTCATTCTTTATACTACATCCTTCATTCTTAATTCTTCATCCTTCATTTTTTATCCTTCATTCTTCATTCTTTATCCTTCATTCTTCATTCGTTATCCTTCATCCTTCATTCTTTATCCTTCATTCTTCATTCTTTATCCTTCATCCTTCATTC